AAAAAAAAAAAAAAAAAAAAAAAAAAAAAAAAAAAAAAAAAAAAAAAAAAAAAAAAAAAAAAAAAAAGACTCCATGTGTAAAATGGGGCTGGTACACCGGCTCACAGCCTGGCTGGGAGGATCACAGAGAAGGGGAATGTAAAGTGACTGGCACACAGTAGGTGCCCAGCAAAGGTTAGGGTCTCTTCTTGTTGGGTTTCTCTTGAATTAAAATGGCTACAATCCCAGGCATCAGAGTGCCATGGACCCTCAGTTCATCTCACTGTAGCCCCTCTGTGCACTAATTCTACAGATGAGGAAGTTGAGGCTCAGAGAGGGGAAGTGACCTGTCCACAGGCTGGCTAATGAGCTCTATCTAAAATCCTCTGCCACTCACCCTAGTGCCTTTTTCACCACTCCAGTCATTAAATCACTCAGATCCTTCCCCCACACCCGCCTCCAAACCCTTTCCTCCTTTGGCCTCCAGAGCAACACGGTCTCCTGCCTCTCTTCTCTCTGGCTGCTCCTGTCCCAGCTGCTGCTCTTCCTGCACTCTCTTAGACTTATATGTTGTCCTATGTCTAAACTTCAACCTCAGGCCTCAATCACTCCTCTCCCTTGGGGATTCTTTCTGGATTGGCCTGTAGCAACTGTGTAGGTACACTGGGGGAGCTGAAGTGACCACAGGTGCCATAGAAGACTCAGCTGATCACGAAACTGACCTGTGGCTATCTTGGGTTGAATTAAAGGAGGCTTGAGTTTTCCTTTTTCTTTTCTTTTTATTTATTTATTTTTGAGACAGAGTCTCGCTTTGTCACCGGGGATGGAGTGCAGTGGCACAATCTCGGCTCACTGCAACCTCCCCTTCCTGGGTTCAAGTGATTCTCCTGCCTCAGCCTCCTAAGTAGCTGGGACTACAGGCATGTGCCATCATGCCCAACTAATTTTTGCATTTTTAGTAGAGATGGGGTTTCACCACGCTGGCCAGGATGGTCTGGATCTCTTGACCTCATGATCCGCCCGCCTCAGCCTCCCAAAGTGCCAGGATTACAGGCATGAGCCACCTCGCCTGGCCGAGCCTCATGTTTTCCAATCAAGGGCAGTGGAAGTCTCAGTGGACCCTGGGAATGTCAGTTCACCCCTGGGTACTAGACACAGTTCAGGAGACAGTGCAAGGCACTGGCAAGTGGTGTGCCCAGGAGGGCAGGCAGGAGGGGGGTGGAGGAACTGTTGAAGGACAGTGTAGACAGGACACATTGTCAAGTTTTTTCAAAGCTCTGCCCACTCCCACACATATGACATTGCTACTTCCTTAATAATCAATATAATAATAACAGCACATATTTCGTGTTAGGCTCTGCCTTAATACATGCATGTATTCACTTAATTCTCCTAACAACGTCGTGAGATAGCTACTATTATTCACCCCCGTTAGACAGTCTAGGCTTCAGTTGCTAGAACAGGAACCTAGGCTGTCTGCTCTTGGGCCTGTGCTCTTAAACACACTACCCTTAACCACAGCACTGCACTGAGCACCTCTCAGCACGTGGTGACACTGGCTCTAAGACGTGGACACAAGCATGAAGCCCTCCACAAACCCCCTGTCCTCTGCATCATTGTCCCTCCTCTCCCTCATGCTTCCTGCCACTCCCCAGACTTGGGCCTCACCCCACCTGAGCTCTGAAGCTCGCCCACTCACTTCTGCTCAGTGATACCCACCCCTTGCCAGCAGCCTCCACCTGCAGCCTCTCCATTCCAACAACCTCCAAACATGCCCACATTTCTCCCTTCCCCAAAGGAAACTATTCTAAGTTCCATCTTGCCATCAACATTCTGCTGCAACTTCTCGCCTTCCCTTCACTTGAAAAAGCGCTTCACACTTGGGTCTCCACTTCCTCACCTCCCACTCCCTCCCAAGCTCTGCTGTCTGGCCTCCGCCTCCCACTCTCACACAGGGAAATCTCTCACCAAGGTCACCCCCACTGCCAAATCCTGTAGCAGCCTCTGACACGCCCTCTCTTGTTTCCTGAAGGTTCTCCGCTCTCCCAGCTGCTCTGACTTGGCCTGGCCTGGATTTCCTCACTTCTCCAGAGGCTCCTTCTTCTTCGAGGGCAGCTTTCCCCAAAGTGGGGTCCTAGGGACAATCTTTTTCACTCTTCGCTCTCTTCCTGAACCCTCTCAGATAGCTTTTTTTAAACAATTTTTTAAATTAAAAAAATTTTTTTTGAGATGGAGTCTCACTCTGTGCCCAGGCGGGAGTGCAGTGGTGTAATCTTGGCTCACTGCAACCTCCACCTCCTGGTTCAAGTGATTCTCCTGCCTCAGCCTTCCGAGTAGCTGTGACTACGGTGCCCGCCACCATACCTGGCTAATTTTTGTATTTTTGGTAGAGATGGGGTTTCACCATTTTGGCCAGGCTGGTCTTGAACTCCTGACCTCAGGTGATCCAACCACCTCAGCCTCCCAAAGTGCTGGGATTACAGGGATGCGTCCCCGTACCTGCCCCCTCCTATACAGCTTTAATGATTATCTTTACTCTCATAAGTCCCAAATTTCTGCCCTAACCCATTGTGCCCTCTGCAAGGGCCACAGAAAACAAACTGAGGAGTCTTAGTGCCAATTTGGAAAAGGTGCCCCTTCCTCTAGGCTGATTCAGGGGCATGGATTGGCATGGGCTGGTTGCCTGCCATACAAAGCACAACCTAATCGAATTGCTGGCAGCCTTCTTCACCTGGATGTTCCTCTCCATAAACCATAATCCGGCAAGTACCCCCCAGAACCCATGAACCTATACCTGCTCCTGTGTTCCCCACCTTAGCAAATGGCACCATCATCCACCCAGCTCCTTAAGGAGACTGAGTCACCCTCAATTCCTTTCACTCCCCATCACCCAAATCAGTCACTGAGTCCTAGATTCTCACTCTGCAAAGTCTTTTCAATCCCTTCTTTTCTCATATATGTATGACATTTGTGAGGATAGATTTTTAAAAGCTTTTATGAGCCTCTGTTTCCTCATCTGTAAAATGGGGACAAAAATTATATCAAAGGGTCAGATGTGGTGGCTCATGCCTGTAATCCTAGCACTTCCAGAGGCTAAGCAGGAAGATCACTTGAGGTCAGAAGTTTGAGACCAGCCTGGCCAACATGGCGAAACCCTGTCTCTACTAAAATTACAAAAATTAGCTGGGTGTGGTGGCATGTATCTGTAGTCCCAGATACTTGGGAGGCTGAGGCAGGAGAATTGCTTGAACTCAGGAGCTGGAGGTTGCAGTGAGCCAAGATCGCACCACTGCCCTCCAGCCTGGACAACAGAGCGAGACTGTTTTTTTTAAATATGGGGTTTCACCATGTTGGTCAGGCTGGTCTTGAACTCCCGACCTCAGGTGATCCGCCTGCCTTGGCCTCCAAAGTGCTTGGATTACAGGCGTGGGCCATCACGCCCGGCCCTGAGACTCTGTTTAAAAATAATAATATTGGCCGGGCGCGGTGGCTCAAGCCTGTAATCCCAGCACTGTGGGAGGCCGAGGCGGGTGGATCACGAGGTCAAGAGATCGAGACCATACTGGTCAACATGGTGAAACCCCGTCTCTACTAAAAATACAAAAAATTAGCTGGGCATGGTGGCGTGTGCCTGTAATCCCAGCTACTCAGGAGGCTGAGGCAGGAGAATTGCCTGAACCCGGGGGGCGGAGGTTGCGGTGAGCCGAGATCGCGCCACTGCACTCCAGCCTGGGTAACATGAGTGAAACTCCGTCTCAAAAAAAAAAAAAAAAAATAATAATAATAATAATAATAATATCAAGCCCAGGCATAGTGACTCATGCCTATAATCCCAGCGCTTTGGGAGGCCAAGGTGGGAGGATGGCTTGAGCTCAGGAGTTTGAGACCGGCCTGAGCAACATAGCAAAATTCGGTTTCTATAAAAAATATAAAAATTAGCCAGGCATGGTGGCACATATCAGTAGTCCCAGCTACTCAGGAGGCTGAGAAGGGAGGCTCAGAAATTTGAGGCTGTAGTGAGCTAAAGTCATGTCACTGTACCCCAGCTTGGGCAACAGAGCATTACCCTGTCTCTTAAAAAACTAATAATATCAAGAGTGCTATTGTGAGAATTAAATAAACCAAGGCAGGTAAATACCTGCTGTAGTATCTCAAGTATATAAAGGTATTCGATGAATAATAAATTATTGACTCTTGGGCCAGGCCCCGGTGGCTCATGCCTGTAATCCTAGCACTTTGAGAGGCCAAGGTGGATGGATCGCCTGAGCTCAGGAGTTCAAGACCGGCCTCGGCAATATGGTGAAACCCCCTCTCTACTAAAAACACAAAAATTAGCTGGGCATGGAGAGAGAATCATCTGAGCCAGAGAGATCAAGACTGCAGTGAGCTGTGATTGTGCCACTCTACTACACTCTACCCTGGGTGACAGTGAGACCCAGTCTCAAGGAAAAAAAAAAAGGAAGGAAGGAAGGAAGAGAGAGAGAGAGCTGGGGGGAGGGAGGAAGGGAGGGAAGGAAGGAAGAAATAAAATAAAAACCCCTGCCTCCTTAATAGAATTAATTGCTGGTAATGCTGCCTTGTACTTGTTCAGCACTTAACAATTTTTTTTTTTTTGAGACGGAGTCTTGCTCTGTCCCCCAGGCTGGAGTGCAGTGGTATGATCTCGGCTCACTGCAACCTCTGCCTCCCAGGTTCAAGCGATTCTCCTGCCTCAGCCTCTCAAGTAGCTGGGACTACAGGTGTGTGCCACCACGCCTGGCTAATTTTTGTATTTTTAGTACAGACGGGGTTTCACCATATTGGCCAGGCTGGTCTTCAATTCCTGACCTCGTGATCCGCCCGCCTCGGCCTCCCAAAGTGCTGGGCTTACAGGCAGAAGCCGCCGTGCCTGGCCAGCACTTTACAATTTTTTAAAGTTCATACACTGTTGTTTTTACTGAGAGGTAATATGTGTAATGCTTAGCAAATGCAGCCCAGCTATCTGGGCTCATACACCAGCTCCACCACTCACTAGCCATGTGAACTTGCACAGGACACTTACTTTCTCTGTGTCTCAATGTCCTCATTTGTAAAATAGGATAATAATAGTTTCTAACCCTGTTACTACACAGACAGTACTTTGAATACTGCCCAGAACACAGTACATGCTATATAAGTGTTACCTACTATCATCGTTATCATTACTATCTTCTTTTGTTCTCACAAAGACCTTACAAAATTATTAGATAAGGAGACAGGCTCAGAGTGGAGCAGTGACTTGTCCAAGAGGTGGTCGTGGAGTCTGGACTCCAGGGTCCTGCCCATAGGGCTGGTCTTGCCCTGATCCCCACTTACTCTTCAGCCTGGATGGAGTCAACAGGGGCCACATAGTTGCTGGGAATGTAGCCAGTTCGTCCGGAGCTGAGGGACCGAGCCTCCCACCAGTCACCTTCACTGTAGGCACAGAACAGGGCTGGTCAGCAGCACCCCCAGTCCCCGAGGCACCCTGGGGCCAGGCGGAGCCACACCGATCTGCAGAGATGGGTCCCGCCAACCCCTCATCTTGGACACCCCCACCACTGGGGCTTTTTGTCTGCTCTGCCCCAGACACTGCAGCTGCCCTGGGAGGGATTTTCCCTGCAGAAGGAATACGTTCAGGGGTATTTGGGGCTCCTAGCTCCTTTCTCGGGCTCTTCAGCTGGGCTGGGCTGGGGGTTGGGAATACAGTGGACAGCTGACTAGGTCACTGAAAATGGCTACAGGTTTCCCATTCAGTGACCCACTGAAAATGGCTGTAGACTTACTTCTGGATATAATCTAGGCTTCTCAATGTGGCTTAAAGAGCCTGGGTGGCTCATGCCTGTAATCCCAGCACTCTGGGAGGCTGAGGCAGGTCAGGAATTTGAGACCAGCCTGGCCAACATGGTGAAACCCTGTCTTTACTAAAAATACAAAAAATAAGCCAGGCATGGCAGCTCCTGCCTATAGTCCCAGGATCACTTGAACTGGGAGGAGGGGGTTGCAGTGAGCTGAGCTGAGATTGCACCACTGCACTCAGCCTGGGAGACAGAGCAAAACTCCAGCTCAAAAAAAAAAAAAAGCCTGGCAGAATCTGCCCCTGCCTACCTCTCTAGCCTCTGTTCATTCCCATTCTGCATCCCATATTTTGTCAACCACCTAAAGGGAACCACTTGGTGGTTTTCAGAAGTCATCATTTATTTTCATTCTCTCTCGATTTCTTCCTCTTTTCTCACCTCTTCCTTCATTGTCTATTCATTTTTACTATATGTATCATTATTTTTTGAGATGGAGTCTCACTCCATTGCCCAGGCTGCAGTGTAGTGGCGAGATCTCAGCTCACTGCAACCTCCACCTTCCAGGTTCAAGTGATTCTCCTGCCTCAGCCTCCCGAGTAGCTGGGATTACAGGCACACACCACCACGTAAGCCACAAAGCGTGAGCCACTGCACCTGGCTCACTATTCATTTTTATAGTCTCAGCTTAAAAATCACCTCCTCCAGGAAGCCTGCCCTGTTCAGTACTATTCTGGGGACCATGTTTGGTGTTCTTTCTCTGCTCATAGTTTCTCATGCTCCCCCACACAATAGCAGTCACCCAGGGTTTTTATTGTTATGTATATGTGTTCCCAACTAGGCTGGAGCATTCTGAGGTTAGGGACCAGGTGGGATTCCTGTTTGGGTCCTGCTCCCACCCTAGGCACTGTTCTGACTAGGTGGCCTGGTCACTTACGTATTGTTCAGGATGTGGAACTTCTCTCCCTTGGTGAAGGTGAGGTCCTTCTCAGTTCGAGCCTCATAGTCATATAGGGCAATGAACAGGGTCACCCCAATCCCTGCAAAGTCAGGGCTACTCAGCAGGGTAGGGCATGGGGCAAAAGCACCAAGGGGTCTGCACCCTCAGATTCCCGTTCCCCAGCCAGGCGCTGCACCTCCCCACTGCTTCAGTGCCCCGATCCCCAAAGGCCTTTGGAGTCCAAGGAATTCCTGATTTGGTCTCTGCAGCTCAGGACACACAGCTTCAAGCCCATTCCTCCCACCATGGAGGGTCCCCATGTTGCCCAGTCCTCCTCTTCCCCACCAAGACTTCCCATCTGGGATCCCAGTGGCAACTAAGAGGGCAAGAAGTTTCTCTTTGTCACTTGCATCTGTCACCCGGGTCCTGCCCCTCTCAGCCTGGGAGCAGAGCTATACAGACGCCCTCAGCCTGTGTGATCTTGCAAGTGGGGTTGTATCTGCCACATCCTACTGGAGGTTCCTAAGGGCAATTCCGCGTCTCCTCTTCTTCCCTCGGTTTCTCCCAGGATCCAGGCAGTACCTGCCTCCAGCCCCCTGGACTCACCTGACACGCCCCTGAAGGTGCCACTATCAAGGAAGGCAGGGTTGGTGACCTGAGGGGAGAAGTTGCTGTAGTTGGGGATGTGGGCAAAGGAGGATGTGGGCCGGGCCTTAGTGGGGTCAGGCCCATAGTGGTCTGCTGCCCCGTAGCTCCTGAAGTCCCCTTCCAGGCCAGCATCCTCCTTGGCAGTGGCCGTCGGCTCCAATTTCTTGCAGAACACACAGCCCATTCCAAGTTCCTGATACAGAATGAGGCATGCCTCGCTCAGAGGCCCCTGCCAGGTGCACCACCCTGTGCACACATGTGCATGCACACGCTCATACACTCATACAGACACGTGGCTTTCCTTCTTGGGCCTAGATTGGGGCCCTCCCTGTAAGGGATGAAGGAGGAGTTGGGCCACCTACAGTACGATTGAGTCTGCCCCGAAGTATGCGCCCCCTCAGTGCTTCTCTTCCCATTAGTTCATGTCTATATCTCTAGGGCTGGCGCTCTACATTAGGATATTGCTGTGCTTATTTATATATTTCTGTCTCCTATTGCTTTCTTTCTTTCTTTCTTTTTTTTTTTTTTGAGACAAGGTCTCACTCTATTGCCCAGGCTGGAGTGCAGTGGCACTCTCATAGCTCGCTGCAGGCTGGATCCCCTGGGCTGGAGTGTTCCTCTGGCCTCAGCCTCCCCAGAAGCTAGGACTACAGGCACATGCCACCACCCCTGGCTAATTTGTTTGATTTTTAGTAGAGACAAGATTTTGCTATATTGCTCAGATTGGGTCCTGCTGCTTTGTTTGATATGTTGTGTTTCTGTGACTCTTTCAGTGTGCTTGTACATGTGTGTCTTTGTATGTCTCTAAGTATGGGTGAGTTTGCCTGTGTGGGTATGTGTGTGTGTGCAGTTCTTTGTGGATGTCTGTGTGTCTGTGTGTGAAGGTTTGTGTGTATATGCGAGTGGGTAAAAGTCTCTGTGCATGTGTTTGGCTGCATGTGTGTATGTCTGTAAGACCATGTTCGTGTGTACGTGTTTCTGTGCGAGTGTGTGTGTGCCTGTCTGTGTGAGTGGGTGTCTTTGTGTCTGTCTATGAATGTGCATGTAGCTCTGTGTGGGAGCAGCATGCCTGCCTCTGAGTGTGTGTATCCCTGTGTGTGTGTCTATCTGCGCATGTTTGTGTGTGAGTGTGTGTGAGGCTGTGTGTCTGCACCTGGAGAGTCCCTGCAGAGGGGGATCAAGGCCATTTCCTGTTGTGGGTCCAGCCTCCAGCCTCTCAAGCTGCCTCATTCTGGCTCCCCCATTCGTTACCTAGCAACAGGGTCCTTGTAGGAGGAGGGGGCTCTGAGGAGTTGTGGGGTTCAGGAAGGCCACCCCCACCCTGTTTCCTGACCCTGAAAGCCCTCAGTCCACCCCACTCACCCCTTAGGCCCCTACTCCTGGGTCAGTGGGGCTGCAACATGATCCTTGGGAGGGGCCAGAGACCTGAGGGCGAGACAGAAGGACAAGGAAGATGAAGGCTCTGCCAGTGTTCCTGTGCAGCTGCCCAGCTCCTGCCCTCCTCAGGAAGCCAGAAGGCCTGGGCTCTGCCCCAGCATGACTTCTGCCTTCACTTTCCTTCCTGTCACCCCTGGCACACTTACACAACCACCGTCCCATAGGGCACACCACCCATGCCAGCTCTCTCTCACACACTCACACTCACCTGACACACCAGCACAGTCATGCAGCAACACTCACAGCATGTATTTGCATGAGTGTGCCTGCCAACACCATCATACGCCAATACGGGCTCTAACAAGCCCAAGCTCACAATAGCACACACATATACACACGCACGCACACGCACACACATGCACATATACATGTGGTGCCTGCCAGGTCAACAGATGAACACACTTGGACATGCATAATTTTGTACATTATACTCATCTCTTTAACAGGATTTCTATCAAGCCATGCTCAGCTCCCTCACAGTCCGCAGTCACCTTCTCCCAAAAACCAGTTCTTCCTCTGAAGCTGCCTGTGCTCCCAGCCACCCTAGGGTTCCATGTGGTGGCCGAGTGACAGTGGGTACCTGCCTCTGGAGCTCTCCTCCTATCCCCATACCAAGAAAAGGCCCAGGTCAGCAGCAGGGGCCACCAGAGTCCCTTGGGAAGCCCCACAATGAGCCATGCCTTTTCTGGCAGCTGTATCCTCTGAGCGACAAGGCAGGAGGTCATTGAGCAAGGGTCCCCCACATCCTGCCAGAAACTCTGCCATTGCAACACTCAGAGAGGAACTGACTGGCGAGATGGCGTGGTTTCCTAAGACATGACAAGAATGGAGAGTTGCAGGGTGGGGCCAACGCAGTGAACCCTGATTTACCCTAGAGGGGCCCTCAGCTTCTCTCTCTCAACCCCCAGTCCACTTACCCTTACAGATACCCTCTTCCTCTTCTCTCTGGGTCCTGTCCTTCCTACCTAGCACCACTTACCTCTTCCAGGAAGTATTCCTGGATCCACCAGGTCCAGTTGCCTGGCTGATGGTTCCGTCACATCAATGCTTTGGTCTCCACCCTACCCCCACCTGCCCCCTCACCCTTTGCTGTAAGTGTGCTCTCATGTGTGTGTTGGGTGGGGGTGGGGGCATGACACCCACGTGGTGAACTGTGGGGCGGGCTGTGGTGAGAAGCCTGCCCTAAAATAGCCCCTGTTCACTGGACCCTGCCTGAGACCTCTGCCCTGGGACCCCTCCCTGGGATGAAACCACTGTGTCCAAAAGGCCCCAAGATGCTACAGGGCTAGTTAGAGCCAGGGCAGAAAACAGAAGGGGAGGACTCGAGGCCAGCCAGAGCCCAGAGGGAGGGATTTCAGGAACTGGTGACAGGAGAGATGGGGCTGATACAAAAACAAGGGTGAGGCCAGGCACAGCGGCTTACACCTGCTATCCTAGGACTTTGGGAGGCCGAGGCAGGAGGGTTGCTTGAGCCTAGGAGCTTGAGATCAACCTGAGCAACATGGGGAGACCCCATCTCTACAAAAAAAATTTTTTTTTCTTAATTAGCTGGTCCTGATGGCACCCACCTGTAGTTCCAGGTACTAGGGAGGTTGAGGTAGGAGGATTGCTCAAGCCTAGGACTTTGAGGCTGTGGGAGCTGTGATTGCACAGCTGCACCCCAGCCTGGGAGACAGGATAAGACCCTGTCTCTATTTTAAAAAGAAAACCGAAAAACCAAGGGTGAGAATGAAGCCTTCTCACAGGAAGACACACACACACCTCAAATGGTGCACAGTGCTGGTACCCAGATCCGAACAGCCCTTGGGACCCCTCAGACAGCGCGTCACCCTGCTGCCTCACGTGCAGGAGCCAGGCTCCTCTGCATAGACTCTTAGCACACACATCTTTAAGAGTACACACATCCCATATACACACACCTCCAGCCTGCATCCATCTGCACATAGATGCCCATGCACATGCACTCTTGCGTGCGTTCATGCACACACACACACACACACACACACACCCTCTCTATACAAGAATAGCAAATACAGAATTTATAGCATTTACTATGTGCTGGCCACTGCATTAAGCATTTTGTCTATATTATCTCATTTTATCCACATGACTATATGATTTAAGTATTGTTATTATTATTGGTTTTATTTATTTATTTTGAGACAGAGTTCCGCTCTTGTCACCCAGGCTGGAGTACAGCGGCATGATCTTGACTCACTGCAACCTCTGCCTCTCAGGTTCAAGCCATTCTCCTACCTCAGCCTCGTGAGTAGCTGGGATTACAGGCACCCACCACTACGTCTGACTAATTTCTGTATTTTTGGTAGAGATGAATTTTTACCATGTTGGCCAGGCTGGTTTTGAACTCCTGAACTCAGATGATCCACCTGCCTCGGCCTCCCAAAGTGTTGGGATTACAGGTGCCTGGCCTAAGTATTATTGCTATTGGTGAGGCAACTGAGGCACAGAGAGGTTTGGAAACTTGCCCAGAGTTGGCCAAGCACAGTGGCTCATACCTGTAATCCCAGAACTTTGGGAGGCCAAGGCAAGAGGATTGCCAGGAATTTGAGCCCAGCCTGGGCAATATGGCAAAATCCCATCTCTATAAAAAATACAAAAATTGGCCAGGCACAGTGGCTTTCACCTGTCACTGAACTCCAGCCTGGGTAACAGTGAGGCTCTGTCTGAAAAAAAAAATTAGCTGGGCATGGTGGCACATGCCTCAGTCAGGAGGCTGAGGCAGGAGGACCACTTAAGCCCAGGAGGTAAAGACTACAGTGAGCTGTGATCGTGCCACTGCACTCCAGCCAGTGTAACAGAAAAAACATTTCTTTTTCTGTCTCAAAAAAGGAAAGAAAAGGAGAGAAGAGAAAAGAAAAGAAAAACCTGCCCAAGGCCACAGACATGTTGTATCCCGGTGTTTGGCTCCAGAATCTGAGCTTTCAAGCACTTCTCTCCATTGCCTGTCACAAATACAGACAGCTGCAGCCATTCCTGCTAGCATGCACAAATGCAGACACCCCCGCACCGTCCCCCCACCGCCATGTAGGGAAACACACACACACACAGATATACACAGCCCTCCCCGAGACACAGACCCACATAGAACTCTCCTTTATAGAACACAAACTTAGGCAAGCTCTCATATTCACACACAGATACAATGTTGCCACTTCCAGTAATAACCTAGTATATATTGTCACAACATATCTATATCAGCCCAAGGGGATCCCTGAATTCTGCATGCCCACCATGGCGGAAGGGAGAGACTCTCAGCTTCTGAGAAGGAGGCTGAAAGCTCTGTGGGCTCAGGAAGAGCCCTGGTAGGGCTGACAGTGTGGTCAGCAGGCAGAGGTAGGCAGCTCTCGGGTCTTAATTGCTACCAGACTCCATGCAGACCAAAGCCCTGGCCAGGCCTAGCTCTCTGGGGACCAGTATGCTGAGGGGTCAGGGGATGTAGGGCACAGGGTATGGCATCTGCATGGCCCAAGGCAGTGAGGGACCACACTGCACGTAGCCATGTTCGTGCTGTATTGTCAGAGGAAGAAAAGAGATGGGGAAAGACAGAAAAAGAAGAGGCAGGGGGAGACAGAGAGAGAGACAGAGTTTGAGAGATACAGAGAGATAAAGAGAAAGAGCCAGAGACAGCCAGAAAGAAAGAGAGACAGAAGGAAAAGACAGAGACAGAAACACAGTGTAGTGTGCTGGTAAACTGACTCTCAAAAAAACCAAAAGCCCTGATTTGTCGCGTTTTCTGATTTCCACGGCGTGAATATTCCCACCATGAGAGGCACAGAATCAACTCCCCTGCGCCAGTAACTCGCCGGCTCCAGCACACACTGCCAGAAAGAAACAGAGACAAAGACACAGAGGCAGAAATGAGAATTAAGGAGAAAGAGTAACCGAGAGACCGAAAGAGACAGAAACGGAGAGAGGCAGAGATGAAGAGCAAGAGAGAGAGCTAAAGAGACAAGGAGGGAAAAAGATGGAGGGAGAGCAGATTGGGTTCTCTGTGCTCAGGCATCTGCATGAAAATAGCCCTAGGACTCTTCATCCTCCCCTTGCTCTGATCCCTATGTGGCACCAATTCTTTGGAGAGAAATTTGACTTCCTAGAAATCTGGGTGGCAGTAAAAATGTGCTAATTTCTTCAAGAGTTATACAGTGACTAGCATCTTGCCAAGCAGTTCTCAGGCATGACCTCATTTGGTGAACCTATGAGGTGGGTTTATTACTACCCTTATTTTACAGATGAAGAAACTGAGGCACAGAGATGTCAAGTAACTTGCCCAAGATTACATTGTGAGTAAAGGATATTAAAATGCAATGCTGAGCAATTTGTTGCCAAAAACCACTGTAAGCTCTGGTCCATTCTGCAGTCCTAGTAGAAGCAATAATGCAAGCTTGTCCAACCCATGGCCCGCGGGCCATATGTGGCCCAGGATGGCTTTGAGTGCTGCCCAACATAAATTTGTAAACTTTCCTAAAGCATTATGAGATTTTTTTTATGGCTCAGTGTGGTGGCTCATGCCTGTAATTCCAGCACTTTGGGAGGCCAAGGCAGGCAGATTGCAAGGTCAGGAGTTCGAGACCAGCCTGACCAACATGGTGAAACCCCATCTGTACTAAAATACGAAAATTAGCCAGGCGTGGTGGTGCACCCCTGTAATCCCAGCTACTTGGGAGGCCGAGGCAGAAGAATCGCTTGAACCCAGGAAGCGGAGGTTGCAGTGAGCCGAGATCGCACCAGTGCACTCCAGCCTGGCAACAGAGCAGGACTCCATCTCAACAACAATAAAAAATCATGAGTTTTTTTTTTTTTTGCAAATTTTTAAAGCTCATCAGCTATCATTAGTGTTAGAGTATTTTATGTGTGGCTCAAGACAATTCTTCCTCCAATGTGGCCCAGGGAAGCCAAAAGATTGGACACCCCTGTAATAACATGTCTCCTCAGGAGCACCTAGTGTTCTGAGTCCTGTGTCTCATGCTCTAAATCCCTGATACCGCGGGCAGGGCGCTGGGGGTGGGGAAAGAGAGAGAGCGCTATCTCTGTCCAGATTTGCTCAGGCAGTCACTGAATCTGAAGCCAGGTCTCTGTTTTCTCGGCATTGAACTTTGCTGCCTGCTAACACCAGAAAGGGGGTAGCTCAGAGAGTGGCCAAATCGTCATTCTGGGCTCTGTAAGGACTTAGGTCTGTTTATGAATATGTCTCTTGAACATCTGGTTGACAGGAGTTGGCTCTGAGATTCCCATCATGGTCAAAATCAGGTTACAGGCATCAAACTGAGGTCCAATCTGGACCACAGTGCTCCCCACTTCAGCATCTGCCCTGTGGCTCTCCCCAGCTCCATTCTTCAGTAGCCTTGTGACCTTGGATCTTTGACAGAAGCCTCTGAGTCTCAGTTGTTGCATCTGTACCTTCTGAGCAGTTGTTGTGAGGGCTTTGTGACATGTGGCTCTTGCTAAATGTGCGGTGGCTGTGTGTGACTGAGAACCACAAGGACAAAACCAGAATGGCCCCCAGGTACCATTTACCACTGCACCCTCCCTTTTGCATAGGGGGAAGTTACTTTCCCAAGATCACACAGCCAGATAGGGGCTTCAAAGTCAGGACTATTAATTCAAGTCCAGAGTTCTGTTCCCTACAACATGGCTGTGTTCTCCAAAGCCTGAGCAGGAGAGCATGCTGTTCCTAACTAGTGAATGTCATATTTCCTGTCAAACACACCAACCCTGTCATATGGCAGCTGGTCACCCAGCAGGGAGGGACCCTGCCCCCCACCCATCCCTACTGCTGGACATAGCAACCCCAGGTCCACCCACTCTTTTTTGAGGCCCACACTACCCAAAGCTATGCCAGTCCTCCCCCCTCAACCCCCACCAAGTATCTGTGCGATCTAGAGGCAGATTTAGGCTCGAATTCTAGCCTCCCTGACAACTAGCTTAAGGCACTGGGCAAGTCAGTTCATCTCTCTGAGCGGCAGCATCTTTGCCTATAAAATAAGAATGCAAATGTCCACTTCCTGAGGTTGCTTCTCAGCATGAAATGCAGTCACACCCCTGAAAGCATCAGACATACAGTGAGTGCCCAGTGAACTTTCATTTCCCTCCTTTCCCTGGCAGGAGGTCCTCCAGGGCAGCGACAGTGTGGAACCAGAGGGTACAGGACTGGGCAGGGCTGAGAAGAAAGAGAAGTTCCCAGGGCGAGGTGAGAAGGTTGAGCTGGCCCAGCTGCCTGGGGGATTTCACCAAAAGGGAACTGGGACTTTGGGCAGTGGCAGGAAACCACCATCCTGCAAGAGTTCCGGCTTCTCCTCTGGGCTCCGGGCTGGCCTGGGGCAGGCCAGGGCTGGAGGGGCAGGGAGCAAGGCTGAGGTCTACAGGTAACACCCATCCCACTATGCCGTATCTTTCACTAGGACTGGGCTTCCATCCCTCTCCCCCAGTCCTCTCACTGAGATCCTTCACCCAGCTGAACCCCAGTGCCTTTGCTGAAACCCCATCTCTCATGCTGAGGCCCCCACCGCTCATTAATGCCATTTCTTTTTTTTTTTTTTTTTTTTTTGAGACAGAGTCTCGTTCTGTTGCCCAGGCTGGAGTGCAATGGTGCAATCTTGGCTCACTGCAACCTCTGCCTCCTGGGTTCAAGCAGTTCTCCTGTCTCAGCCTCCTGAATAGCTGGGATTACAGGTGCCCACCACAACACCTGGCTAATTTTTTGTATTTTTAGTAGAGACAGGGTTTCATCATGTTGGCTAGGCTGGTCTTGAACTTCTGACCTCAGGTGATCCACCCACCTCAGCCTCCTAAAGTGCTGGGATTACAGGTGTGAGCCACGGTGCCTGGCCTTCATTAAACCCTTTCATCTCACACCGTCCTTTCTTGAGGCCTTGAAACTGCCTCCTAAAGAAGGCATGCCCACCCCAACCCTGTCCGACTCTACCACCACCCTGGTGAGGCCAGGTGTGTGTAGGGGCTGCCGGGGGTGGCCTTTACCCTCCATGTGGTCCTGAGGCCATCAGCAGTTTTCTCCACTTCTTGTGGGTAAAAGTGGTTTTCCACTTGTTGCTGAAAACCACCCACCAGCCTCTAAAACATGAGTCTTTAGGTCCCATCTGGCCTGGGACTCAGGATATTCAGGAGATGGGAGCCATGAGGGGTCCAGGGGCAGCCAGGGGATGAGTCTAGATTTCACAGTGTGGCCAGACAGAAAGCTCCCTCCACAGCCCCTCAGGGGAGGAGGGCGGTGAGGGGGACATCCTGCCTTTTCCCACCTTAGGCCAGCCCAGTCTGCTCTGTGTGGGAAGAGCCCTGGCCCCTACCCCAGCTCTGGGGTCCCCCTACCTTGCCTCCTCGGGTCTGGCCACTTCCTTTACTGCATCAGCCCCAGGTGGCTGCCGGGAACACCCAAACATCCACTCATATGCTCAAGGGTTCATGATCATTCACTCAGAGCCCAAAACATACAAACACTCACACCCTTACTGGAGGAGGGTGTGAGAGCACCTCCTCACCAGAGCAGGAAGTAGTCATGAAGCCCGTGAACCCCATGCCCCCCTCCTTGGAAGATACATGAAACTTGGTAGGGATGAGGTAAGGACTCAGGCCTCAGCTCAGGCTACATCAGGCAAGATGTCCTGGACTTCTGGTCCCTACTGTTGGCCCTGCAGGTTGCCGACTCCCAAACCTCCATCTTCCCATCTGTGAAGTGGGAACAGGGTCCAGCTCTCCCATCATCACCATAGTTGGAAGGATGCTGAGGGCGTGAGGGTCCCTGATGCACACCTAAGGGGCGGCCACCTGGGTGCGGCACCACAGAGGGTGCCAGACAGATTTCAGCTTGCTGACCTCCTCATGATGGGCCCTCATCAGAGTCACGGACTATTTATAATAAATAATTTTTAATATGTATTTATTAATTATTAAAAAATAGTTGCCGACTGTGTTTGGGTCCCTGGAGGCCCTGTCAGTGAGAGCTGGGCAGTCTGGTCCCCCTCCATGCTTTTGGTTGCCGTTGTTTTATTTCGTGAGACAGAGTATCACTGTCAGCCAGGCTGGAGTGCAGTGCTGCGATCTTGGCCCACTGCAACCTCTGCCTTCCGGAGTTCAAGCGATTCTCCTGCCTCAGTCTCCCGACTAGCTGGGATTATAGGCACCCAGCACCATAGCCAGCTAATTTTTCTATTTTTAGTAGAGATGGGGTTTCACCATCTTGGCCAGGCTGGTATTGAACTCCTGACCTTGTGATCCACCCACCTCGGCCTCCCAAAGTGCTGGGATTACAGGCGTGAGCCACCATACCCGACCCGTTGTTGTTTTTTACAGACAAGGTCTCACTCTGTCGCCCATGAGCTCCCGCTGCAGCCTTGAACTCGTGAGCTCCAGCGATCCTCCTGCCTCAGCCTCCGGAGTAGCTGGGACTACAGGAAGGTGCCACCACTTCCGGCTAACTTTACTATTTTTCAGAGACTGGGGAAGTCTCCGAATGCTGCCCTGCTGGTCTCCTCTGCCTGCTTTTGAGAAGTTGCAGAGGAGGCCCTCTGAGTCAGGGATAGCCGTTAACCCTTCAGGAAACTCCGCAAAAACTGCTTTCTGCACCTAATTCTCATGGGGGAAGGGTGGACGCAAAGATAATTTCTCCCCGTAGTTCAGATGAGGAAAATGAGGCCCAGGGAAGCCCCGTAACTCGCCTGCAGTCACAGCAATGAAGGGCCCAATCTTGCTAAGAACCCACGTCTCTCAAACTGCAGATCCCCCACCCCAGGATCGGTGAACACAGCGGCATCGCCCCCCACCTCGGTCGGCTAGCCCATCCTACCCCCAGAGGGAGGATTCTGAAAGGGAGCGAAGGCGGGGAGCAAAGGGGGCTGCGCCTGCCAGGAGCTCCGCGGCGGCCCAGCGCGGCCCGCCCTCGCGTTGTCATGGAGGCAGCCCCTGCGGGCACCCGCGGTCAAAAGCAGGATTTCCGTCGGGGAGGCAGCAATTCCCGGATCCCGCGGGGAGCGCGGGCCGAGACCGCCGCTGCGGGCGTGGAGGGAGCGCTCAGAGAGGCAGGTCCCTGCCGAGGGCGGGGACTTCCCCAGGAAGCGGGGACCCACGCCTCGCGCGCCGGGAAGGAGTCCCCTGCAGCGCAGCTCGGAACCCATCGCCAGGGCGGCCGGGGGGAGAGGGGTCGCGAGCAGCGGTCGCGGCCGCCTCAGTTACCCTGCGGGCTGTGGGCTTCACCCCGACTTCTGCCGGCTCGGAACAGGGGGACTTCCTGGACCTGCAATCAGTCCCCAGGTTCTCTGTCCTCTAGAAGTCGTTCTCCTCGACCCCCTTCCTGCCGGTTCCTTCACCTGTTCCCTCCAGCACCCCCACCCACTTCCCCTCTCCCACACTCAACAAACCCGTCGGCTTCTCCCCAAAGTCTCACTTTCACGATCTCCTCAGTTTCTCCCCCAGACCCTTTTGGGGTTCCCCTTAGTCCTCCCCAGCCTCTCTCAGCCCCTTCCTAAACTCTCATCAGTCTCTTCCATTTGCCCCACCAGACCTTTTTGGGGGTCCCTTTGGTCGGCTTTCCCCGTGCTCCCCTACACCCTCTCCCCCGGGTTTTCCAGCCTTGCTCTCCAGGTCGCCGGTTTTCCTCCTTAGGCCCTTTTCGGGCTGGGGTCCCTTTGGCTGTCACCTTGCTCAACTCTCCTCCCACCCCTGGGTTCAGGCTTCTCTTCCCCTCCATCCCCAGCCCTGTGTCCAGAGCCCCGACGGGGAGGGCACTGCCTGCCCTGCCCAGCCCCCACCCGACGCGGTCGCTTACCTGCAGCCCAATTCTGCCCGGTCCCCCGGGGCGAGCCAGCCGGGGCTCCAGCAGCCGCGATTGCCGGCGTGGGGGGACAACCGGGGTACTGCCCGCCTCTGACCGCTGCCCACGCTGGGCAGGGAGGAGGAAGCCTCCTCGGACTTCTCTTATTGCAGTCGCGGCGGGCGGGCGGTGGTGGTGGCGGCGGGAGAATTCACAGTCACGCCCCAGCCCCGAGCCAGCTGCCCTCAGCGAGGAGGAGCCCAGCTGCCCGCAGCAAGGAGGAGATCCCAGGCCCACCCGTCCACACCTGGCTCCTCCCCGGGTTATGGGAGGTCGGCTCTGTCACTCTCCAGACCTGAGTCCCCAGCATGCCTTCCCAAAGGCCCCCTCCAAAAGCGCAGGTTCCACACCCCCGAAGCCCCTGCTCTTTTAGGATCATTGAATTGGAGGTCAAGAGGGGCTTTTCTCCATCACTGAGGACCAGATCGGGACTGGCCTTACCCAGGTTCTCACAGCCAGTAGACTTCAGACTGCTGTCACCAGAGCCACTGGACATGGATTACATGGACCCTGCCACCATGCCTTCCCTTCCTCAGGGGCTGGGCACTGGGGACACAGGGCTGTAGGAGGGTGGTGAGCAGCAGAAGACCCTTCCCTTAGGAAACTGCCTTTCAGAGGAGTGGGAAGGGTGTCAGCCTCCCCTACGCACCCAAGTTTTAGAAAACTGAGTAACTGGCCTGTGGCAGTGGCTCAGCCTGTAATCCCAGCACTTTGGGAGGCTGGGTGGGAGGATTGCTTGAGCCCAGGAATTTCAGACCAGCCTGGGCAGCACAGGGAGACACTATCTCTACCTCAAAAATTTTTTTAAAAAATTAGCTGATTGTGGTGTTGTGCACCTGTAGTCCCAGCTACCGCGGAGGCTGAGGAGGAAGGATCACTTGAGTACAGCAGATAGAGGCTGCAATGAGCTGTGATTGAGCCACTACACTCTAGCTTAAGTGGCACAGCAAGACCTTGCCTTAAAAAAAAAAAAAAAAAGATTGAATGTGGGTTTTGTTGCAGAAAATGAATTTTAAAAAAAGAAAGAAAAACTGAGTATCTTAGAACATGTGGAAAAAAGATTTTAAAAAACAGCCTGGCGTGGTGCCTCCTGCCTGTAATCCCAGCACTTTGGGAGGCTGAGGTGGGCAGATCATGAGGTCAGGAGATCAAGACCATCCTGGCCAACATGGTGAAACCCCATCTCTACTAAAAATACAAAAAATTAGCTGGGTGTGGTGGCGTGCGCCGGTAGTCCCAGCTACTCAGGAGGCTAAAGCAGGGGAATCACTTGAACCCAAGAAGCGGAGGTTGCAGCAAGCTGACATGACCCCACTGCACTCCAGCCTGGTGACAGAGTAAGACTCCGTCTCAAAAAATAAAAAATAAAATAAAACACAAAAAGAAAAACAGTAGCATCTGCTATCAATTCCAGCCTCTCTGACTAGTAGGGATCCCTGACCCCTCCTCAACCTGGGGTTCATTCTCCACTCCCACTACTACTATTTCAGCCTTAAAGCAGGAACCCGGAATATCCCTCCTGTCCGGGAGAGAAAGAGATGTGGTGGGAGGGCTGTTTGGTGGAGAAGTATATGTTTGTTGGGATGCGGTGAGAGGCAGGGAGAGTGTGTAAACACAGAAGTGTGTGTGTGTGTGTGAATGAGACAGAGAGAGAGCAATGACATGATGACTTTGCTTTTGGAATCAATAACTAGAGCATGGCATGCAGGCAGGTGTGTTTCTCTATATGGGCAGGGGTGGGTGGGGATGCGTGTGTGCTTGGGTACACATGCTCAAGTGTGTCCCAATGTGACTGAGGTAACAGAGTAGTAGGATTCAGATAAGAATGCTTTTCTCAGGCCGGGCGCAGTGGCTCATGCCTGTAATCCCAGCACTTTGGGAGGCCGAGGCGGGTGGATCATGAGGTCAAGAGATCGAGACCATCCTGGTCAACATGGTGAAACCCCGTCTC